CAAGCCTTGCTACAAACAGACCAAAGGCCTAGGTCCTGGGTGCCCGAGGAAAACCGGTGCTGGCAGCCAGGGAAAGGAAGGCCTATTGTGCGAATCTTCATGCAACAGGCCTCTATTTGGGAATAAAAAGATAATCCCAATAGAAAACTATATATATAAAAGCCTAAGCAACCGGAATGCCAGAACAACCAGAACAGTCAGTCAGTATGACACACACTGATCACCAAAGGGCAGATACTCAATGCAGGAGCTGTCCCCTAGTGGTCAGTTTGCTCCCACAGCCAACCTCCCACAGCTGGCCAACCTCCCCTGGTCCCTCCCCGCTGCTGGCCAATCTCCCACAGTCCCTCCCCCTGTACAGGAGGAAGGCCCTGGCGGGCAGCTGGAAGGCCCCCACCCATTCACGAATTTCGTGCACCAGGCCTCTAGTCTATATACATAAAAAGCTAATATGCTAAGTGTCCAACCATCCTACCAGTCACTATGTTGCACACTGACCACCAGGGGACAGACACTCAACGCAGGAGCTGCCGTGACAGGTACTGGCCATTTACAGAGAAACAGCACCGCAGACCTGGCACCCCCAAAGCAACACTCAGCTTTCCCCAAGTGGGACACAGGCCCCACAACCACTCCAGAGCAAGAACCCACCAAATCGCAGCCAACACTGCTGAGAACCCATGGCGCAAAATGCAGCCCACAGCCCAGCCCAGCCCGGAAAGGTTGGCTGTGGGCACCGGGTAATGACGTCACGCAGCAGCACCCAGCATCTTCTCCCTAGTGACTAGCGTCCTTGGAGTTTCTTAAGCCCAGGAATATGACTTGCTTTATAGCCTCAGGTGCAAATGCAAACATTTCACATTTTAACCAAATGTCTGTGAAGTGTTTTTCCCATGCCTCATCTCATTTGATCCTCACAGAAGTCCTGGAATAGGAGACTCGGTAGACTCCTATTTTCTTTTCATTACCTGGAAAACAGAGATTTAGAAAGTTTAGAAACTTGACCCGACTGAAAAGAAGAAATGGTGCACCTTGAAAATGACTTCAGGTTTTCCATAAAGCTCTTGCTGGCGCCAAATGACGCTTGTGTTTCGATCTGTCATTGTCACTCTTGAATTTGGTTGGCACTTCTATTATAGAGAAAGGGCGAATAGCAATAATAAAATATTTCTTCTAATTAATTTCCTTTCAATGTGCACAAATTCGTGCACTGGGCCACTAGTAGCTAAATAAGAACCAAATAATACTATTCTTATATTTTTGTCTAACAATGTTTTTTATTGGGTAGGTGCTGGGGTCCAACCCCAGCAGGTCCAGGGGTCCCCAAAGGTGTGGATGGAGTCGGCGAAGAAGGAATGACACGGAGACAGCGTTCAGTTGATCAGCAGCCTAGCCAGGATCTCTGGCCAAGTTCTGGTCAGGGTCTCCAGCGAAGTTCTGGTTAGGATCTCTAGCCAAGTTCTGGTTCGGTTCTCTCACTAGGTTCTCCAGCCAGGTTCTGTAGCCATGTTCCCTCGCTAGGTTCTTATTCCCTCCCTAACTTCAGGGAAAAATCTCTACCTGGAGAAACAACCTTTCTCTGAGAGGTGACCTTCGTTAAAACACATAGCGCTAAGGGGAGCAAACATATTAAGAACAGTATGCTATATACGCCAGGTCCCTTGAAACATATGCTGTGCAGTTGTTTCTTTCCTGCAGCGACTGTGTCAAGCAGCAAGGATGGACCGGCTTCCGGCAGGTATGGGTGGGGGGGCACACATATATTACCAATGTATTGCTTATCTTTTACACTGTGGCTTCCTGAAATACAAGGTATATGTCTTGGTATGAACCACACTTCTAAATATATATATTTACTTGACAAATAATGGATATTATGTTGAGCACAAAGCTAGGTCCTGATAATTCTCAAACTTCTGAAAAAAAGAACTACACCAGCCTCAGTGATTATATCTGAACTAGAGGCCCAGTGCACGAATTCAGCCGGCCCCGTGGTCGAACAACCGGTCAAGGGGACAATTTGCATATTCTCTTTCTATTATATAGGACGAGGCCCAGCACACGAATTCGTGCATGAGTTGGGTCCCTCAGCCTGGCTGGCAATCAGGGCCAATCCGGGCCCAGCTGGATAGAGGGAGAGACCATGGGAGGTTGGCTGTGGGAATGCACTGACCACCAGAGGGCAGCTCCTGTGTTGAACGTCTGCCCCCTAGTGGTCAGTGCACATCATAGCTACCGGCTAGCTGTCTGGTTTTAAGGATGGCTTAGCCTTTTATATAGATAGAGAAGATATCAAAGTAAGGAAAACACAAATAAATGTAACAAGATTCCAATAAAAGATACCTGACAATGCATTTCCACGATGAGCCATCTTGATCATCTTGTTCTTCTATGTACATTCTGACATTGTGATCTTGATCCAACTGGTACCAGTACATGAGGCCATCTTTGTCTCGACCAATTGGCTGGAGACGCATGGTATCGGCATCTTCCTCATTGATAATATTCTTGAATTTGAGATTGTCATCAAACTGACACTCACAGAGGTACTGAAAAATAGTTAGAACATGGCTTAAGATACCCCACATAAATGATATGTTTAACCACAGAACTGATTCAAGGACAGAAACAGAAAGAACGCATACAGTTTATTAATCTTTTACCATACTCTCCTCCCATTTTTACAACATGCTTAGAACTAATTTAAAAAGATAAATTTCAAGTGAACATGTTACTTTAATGTTATATAAATTTACAGTTTCAATACAATCAATGACACAAAAATCAGTTATATTTCAAAAGCACTGAGTCTGTTTGCAGTAAGTCACCCAAAATGTTTCATGGTATAAAATTTTCACTGATTATTTCTCTCTTAAAGCTTTTAAATGAACATTATTCTTGAAATGGCTATTTGTTTTTGAAAGCCTGAAATATATGCAGTTTTCAAGGAAGGTAGTCTGAATGACAGCTGCCTCTAAAGAAGTATCTTAATAAAAAGATATCTATGTTATTAAATGAGGAACTAACTTAACTTTTTGTTAAATATTTTTATATATGAATAGGGTGTAAAGTCAAGATTCTTCCTTGAGTCTTTCTGCCCGAGCAGATAATACATGAATTTCCTATCTCAGTCTCTTTGTTTTTGCCTGTGTTATCTAGCCCAGCAGTCTCTTTTTGTGTGAAAAGTATTGTTTTCCTTCATTATGCTGGCTACCTTGCTAATAATTAGGGCCAACACTCTGAAATGGGTAGTAAGAGAAAAGGAAACTCAAACTTGAAAATAAATCTACTTTGAGACCTATTTTATTTTAATCTAGTTGGTTTGGTTATGTGGTATGCCCCTAGTCATCTGGAAAACTACCAAATTACTAATTTAGTAAATCAGTAAAAAGATTAACCAGTTTACAGTATGTATTAGCAATGACTGTGAAGGCTAAAAACAATGAATAAAATTAATTTGGGGCAATTGCTTGCCCATTCTACTACAGAACCTATAAGCTCAGATAATTAAATCTAGATATACTTTTATACTAAAACAAAACCACAAAGAATAATTTAAAGAATAGAATTTTGTCACCAAAAAAAATAAAAGAAAAAAAATCTAATGTCCTTTTCCAATAATAACAGAAATGTCTACTTTCTAGCTATTTTTCCAATTCAACCAGGAGTGAAAGTGAATTTTTAAATTAAAATAATTGTAACAAATAATAAACTTATTACCTTTAGGAGCGCTAGTTTGCATTCAACACTCATTTCGAGATAGCCTTTCTTCTCCATCTCCCATGCCCAAGTGCTATTAAACTCTTGGCATATCTGTCAGAGAAAGTTAATATCTTAATACATAAAAGTTTTATTTAATAGATAGTTTTGCTGTATGATTATGGTAAGTATTCTTGATATTATATGTTTATAAAGGAAAAAGTCTGTAACAAACAATGCAATCCAATTCCAACCCCAAATGCGTATTACTTAAACACACGGAAATGTTTATTGCTGACTGCTGACTAATCTAACGTAAGTACCGATCTCTGCAGCTCTCTCCTCTGACTCTCAAAGATATTATACATATTTTTGTGGCACATTTTCCCAGATGCAAGTAATTATCTGATTCTGTCTCTCAATTTGGCTTGGAAGTTCCTGGATGGCAAGCACAATAGTTTATTAATAGCTATGACTAGAACAGTAAATTTAAAAAAACATGCCAAACTATAGGCATATTTAAAATCAAGCTAATTTGCAACTAAATGTTCCCCTATTTATGGGTAAAGATTTCATTGCTTGCCATTTCAGACCTTCTATATCAGTGGTTCTCAACCTTGGCTGCACGTGAGAATCACCTGGGAATCTTTTTAAAATCCTGATTTCTGGGCCTCATCCTCCAGAAATTCTGTTTCTTTGTTACGAATGTTGTGGCCCCGCCCCATAACAAAGAAACAGAATTTCCGGAGGATGAGGCCCAGAAATCAGGCCTCAGGGCAAGGTGTTTTCCAATAGGGTGCGGCAACTGTCTTCCCCCGCCCAGGCAAGTCAGTGCGCATCATAGCAACTGGTTGTTCTGGTTGTTCCTCCATAACGGTCGCTTAGGCTTTTATTATATAGACGGCATAAATTTAAATTTCTAGACTTCTCTCCATATACAAGCATTCCAGGAAAACCAGCGCCACCTAACAGACCGAAAAAAGATTTGGACAACCACTCTACTCAATAACAGGGACTAATCAGGAGAAATGCTATGGGTTCTACGACCTGTGAGCCAGTTTCTTTAGCTATAAAAGGGGAGCAAGAATAATACTGATCTTAAAGGTTATGAAATAGCCCTAGCCAGTTTGACTCAGTAGATAGAGCATCAGCCTGCTGACCAAAGGGTCCTGGGTTCGATTCCAGTCAAGGACATGTACCTTGGTTGCAGGCTCCTACTGGGACCCTGGTTGGGGTGTGTGCAGGAGGCAACCAATCGATGTGTTTCTCTCACATCAATGTTTCTCTCTGTCTTTCCTTCTCTTCCACTCTCTCCAAAAGATGAATGGAAAAATGTCCTTCGGTGAGGATTAACAACAACAACAACAACAACAACAACAACAAAAGGTTATGAAATAGACATAAAAATATTAAAGTACCTAGCAACTTCAATAAAATCTGTCTTTATTGCCTTTAGTACCTGGATTTGTTTATCCTAAGAAATAATTCAGATTGAAATTTTTATTTTAAAACTAAGAAACATGAAATTTAGAAAGATTCATTTATCCAGTGAGTCCACAAATATTTACTGAGTACCTACTAGTAGTTGTCAGTAGCTTAAGTCAAGGAGGTGGGGAAGACAGACAACCTGCCATCATGGACCTTACATTGTAGGAAGTAGTCAAACACGTAAAATTTTAAATAATTTAAGTAGCTCAGGTGGTGTGGCTCAGCATGGTTCCATGCACTAAGAGGTCACCAGTTTGATTCCGAATCAGGGCACATGCCCAGGTTGTGACATCCATCCTCAGGAGAGGCAGCCAATGTTACTCTTTTTCCCTTTCCCCTCCTCTCTAACTCAAAATCAATAAAAACATAAAATAATTTTTTTCAAGTAAAGACAAACAGTATACTGAAAATAAAATGTGATAGTTTTGGTGCTATTTTGCATTGGGTGCTGAGGGAAAAGCTCATTTTATTATTTATTTTTAAATATTTATTTACTGAGAGAGAGAGAGAGAGAGAGAGAGAATTTGTTGTTCCACTTATTTACGCATTCATTGATTGATTCTTTTATGTGCCCTGACCAGGGAGCAAACCCTCAACCGTGGCATATCAGGACGATGTTCTAACTGACTGAGCTACCTGTCCAGGGTGGAAAACCTCATTTTAAAAAGTTGACACAAAAAGCTGAGAGATAAAATAGAAATGAGCCACAAGATGATCTGGAGAAGAAACACGCTAGCAAAAAGACCTTAAGGTTTGGCAAATTAGAAAAAGAGAAAAGATTCGTCAATGTAAATGAAGTAGAAGAGCAATTTTCAACCTGTGTGTGTTTGAGTTGCTAGAATTTTTAAAACATGCAATGCTTGACTATTTTAGTCAGGGGCACTGACCTCTTTTCCCTTAGATAGTCAATTAAATAAAAGGCAACAGCCAACACAACACAACAATAACTGTCCAATGTGAATGGATCAAAATTATACCTATTTTTTTTGTCAGGGGAGAGAGAGAGAGAGAGTGAGAGAGAGAGAGAGAGAGAGAGAGAGAGAGAGAGAGAGA